AATTATAACTATAATATTAGTGAAATATATATTTATATTATTAAGTGAGTAATTAGAGGAAAATTCCTAAGTAGAAATGGATAATTATATATTTTTATATATAGACTAATATGTAAGTTGTGTGTGAAATTATCTAATTAAAGTTAGGTGTAACTTTATTTTCTTTGTAACCAACGGATTGTGATATTAGTGGGAACGAAATTTATTTCGAACGCTTTCATACCTTCTCAATTATTCTCCAAAATTCTCTACTTAATGTACTACGTAATTGAAAAAATAAAAGGTTTGTCTATGGTATCTTTTTGCATTTAATTTTTTAAAAATTTATAATGGATAATTTTATTTTTATCACTAATATTACATATATATTTTTAATTAAATATTTTATAAAATTAAAGTTATTTCTTAATTTTTTAATATATATTAATAAAAATAATAATAAATAAAGCATTAACATGTACTCTTAGAAATTTATGAAAATGAAAAGAAAACAACAAGAGTGTGCATTTTTTGGGCGGACGAGATAAGGAAACATTGAATTGAAACAGAAGGGGTCGGTGGGTGGAGAAAGTATGTTGATAAATAGGTTACCAAACCTCCCAACAAGAACAGCTCCACCATTAATGCATCCTTCTTATATTATTTCTTGGGAATCTTGTTTTATACGTAATTTAAAATGGTAAAATATAAGTCATTAAATAAAATTATTTTTCAATATTAAAAAATATGTACACTATTTACTTCTCATTTAATTATTTAAATTATATAATTTAATATACTTTAATTATATAATAATATTTTGTTATCTAATTTTTATATGCACTTACCTTTGTGACCTAATGATTAATACCATTGAAAAAGTGCATATCCATTCTCTTGGGCGGGTTGGAAACCGTCTAATGACAAAAAAGTTTTAAAAAATATATTTTTTTATATAGAACACACTTTTTGATTTTTTTTTATCTTATCATTTGAAAAGTTTTATGTATAGTTTCACTCCTCCATCGTGAATATAGATTGAATTAAGTCACACCAAAATTTAATATGATTAATTGATATTAAAGTTAACTCGTATTTAAAATTAACAATTAATAATCATATTAATTGTATATGTTATATAACTTAATCATACAAAGAATGTTCAAATGAACGTTGAAGGTCTCTTATCATTTATCAGTAACTTAATAAATAATTTTTTTATTAAAAATAAAATATTTTAAATTCGAATCACATGATATGTAAATAAAGTGTGATAAAAAATAAAAAAAAATTATCTCTTATTATACAAATAACACACATATATATATATATATATATAAAAAGGAAAAAGTAGTCTCCCTGTCATCTCTTATCAGTATTAATCACGAACCGTTCGTGGCTATGGAGAAATGAAGTGATATTCAAACCAAGTTCAGACCGGTAGGTTGTGGAACTGATCAAACACTAAACTTTTGATGGCTTAAAACTACATTATGGCCTGATTTATCGATGGATAATTGGTATGCTTCCCCTACTCAAGCGTGTGAATAGGCAAAAAAAAAAAAACAGCAACACAAAAATGACCTTGCTCCACAAATGGAGGCAATTGGGATATTCACGTAAGATTGTTTATAATAAAACTTTTTGGCTGATAAAAAAAACTAATCACGAATCGTTCTCCCTTCGTTATAATAATGTAAGCATCGAAGTCATTCTGTTTCAACTTTAAAATGGCAAGACAATTAAGAGAGGCCCATCTGGGTGTAGCTTAAAACTAGCCACTTGGTTTTGCCAGATACCCAGGTGGGAGTGGGACAACAGATATCAAAGGTACCCTTAAAATTGAATCTTGGGGGACACTTTCTGAATCAAGAATTTAAAGAGGATACGGATGAGGATTGAATACAACTGTCAACAGTA